AAAACAATGTACCTGCATTGCGCACGCCACAATACACAGTAATGCACTGCAAGCTGTGTGCTCTTAAAAATGGACAGGTGTTGCTTCCTAGGTGCTGGGGTGCGTTCAACCAGCCCATTGATTTTTAACAGGCTACCTTAATGCAACACACATTAACATGTTGCCTTTAAAGTAAAACTGTGAAAAGAAATATACTCCGATCAGCCATAACATTATGACCACTGACTGGTGAAGTGAATAACATTGATTATCTCACTACAATGGCACCTGGAAGTGAGATGCACTATATTGCCAAAAGTATTGGGACACCCCTCAAAATTATTGGATTCAGGTGTTCCAATTACCTCGATGGCAACAGGTGTATAAAATCAAGCACCTGGGCATGTAGGCGCTTCTGCAAACATTTGTGAAAGAATGGGTTGCTTTCAGGAGCTCAGTGAATCCAAGCGTGGTACCGTCATAGGTTGCCACTTGTGCAATAAGTCCATCCGTGAAATGTCCTTGCTACTAAATATTCCATGGTCACCTGTTAGTGGTATTATAACAAAGTGGAAGCAACTGGGAACAACAGCAACTCAGCCAGGAAGTGGTAGGCCACGTAAAATGACAGAGCGTGGTCAGCGCATGCTGAAGCGCACAGTGCACAGAAGTCGCCAACTGTCTGCAGAGTAAATAGCTACAGACCTCCAAACTTTGTGTGGCCTTCAGATTGGCACAACAACAGTGCGTAGAGAGCGTCATGGAATGGGTTTCCATGGCCGAGCAGCTGCATCCAAGCCTTGCATCACCAAGTGCTTCTCTGTCTGGCAATCCAATGGATGTGTCTGGGTTTGGCGGTTGCCTGACTACATTGTGCCAAGTGTAAAGTTTGGTGGAGGGGGGGATTATGCCCCTTAGTTCCAGTGAAGAGAACTCTTAAGGTGTCAGCATACCAAGACATTTTGGACAATTTCATGCTCCCAACTTTGTGGAAGCAGAGCTGCAGTTGTCTCCTATAGGGCTGGAGGGCCTGCATTGATGTAACGACTGATCATACACTAGAACCTCAGTTACAAGGAGCTAATTTCAGACATCCCAACCTGCAAAAACTAATTTCAGGAATGTGCCCTCTCCCCCATGTGGATGAGTAAGGGAATCAGCAGGTAGCAGATGAGCTAATGCTCCTTTCCGGGATATAATGTTTCTCCGCAATAAGATGTTCCTCTTGTAGGCGTCAGGGAGTCGCTATATAGAAGACTATGCAGAAGACGTAAGGACTTTGCTTTAATGCAATTCAACAGGTATCCTGTGCTCCCATATCCTTCTTCCTTATTCTTCATGCACATGCAAATCAAACTATCTTGAATATATTCTAAGTGGTGCAGGGAGTGTGATGCTTTGGGCAAAAATGTACTGAGAAACCTTGAGTTCTGCCTTTCATTTAGAATGGTTTGAGGAACACAACAATGAGTTTGAGATGTTGACTTGGCCTCCAAATTTTCCTGATCTCAATTCAATCAAGCATCTGTGGCATGTGCTGGAAAAACAAGTCTGATCCATGGAGGCCCGACCTCACAACTTACAGGATTTAAAGGATCTGCTACTGATAGCTAGAAAAGGGGGACCTACTCAATATTAGGTGGATGGCCATAACTGCTGATACCGAGTATTTGGGTGAGTATGAGCAATGTCCTGTTCCACTGAGAAAGGAAACCTCTCTGCAAGAGTCTGAGATACCAATGTGCCCATGGTACCATTGGGATACAAGAGGCCATGGTACCTAGTACTAGTAGACTCATGCATTGAGAGGCCGTCAGAGAGGAGGATAGGACCGTCTGCTTGATTCTGGATCTTATACCCATGGCCTTCTGGACTGGAGGGGAGATTGTTCCTCATGATTCAGACATGTGGAATTCCGCTCCCAGGTAGAGCATCTTCTGTGTGGGAACCAGCTGACTCTTTGGAAGATTGATCAGCCAGCCAAAGTAGGTGAGTGTGTTGATGAGAATCTCTCTGTGGGACAGAAGTACATCCCTGTCATTGGACAGGAGCAAAATATCATTCAAGTAATGGTGTACCCGGATACCGCATTCTCAGAGGGCATCCAGAATAGCAACTAACACTTTTTGTAAAGGTTCTCCGGGAGGTAGAGAGGCCGAAAGGAAGGCATACAAACTGTAGGTGCATCTCTCCCACCGCAAACCTCAGGAATTTTTGGAAGGATGCTAGAATGGGAACATGAAGATACACATCTTATAGATCTAATATATCTCAATATGCTTGTGAAAGCCCACAAGCACAATTGCCTGCCGAATGCCGTGTTTATTATTTTGTAGCTAAATATTTATCTAGGCACATGTGGCTGTAGAATGTTTGTCATGCTTGTGCATGTGTTGCCAGCCAATTTCAAACCATTCACAGGTTGTACTATGCCTCGTGACTCGTATGGTGGACATACTGGGGGGAATTTATCAAAACGGGAGCAGGCAAAATCTCAAGCAGCAGTGCAGGGCAGCCAATC